GGGTGTATTGCTGGCAGGAAGAAGACGATCCACAGCACCGAGCTGCCAAGATTCTCCACCGAGTCCCTCCCTTTCTCCACCTCCGGAAGCTTTTCTTCTAGTGTCCCCTGATCTCCGAGACTCATGCACGTCTACCCTGCCATCTGCACATGTGGTCAGCATCAACGAGAGCCGCTGCGAGATGTACAGCAGCACCAACACAAGAACAGTCAAGCGCTCGAGAGCTCGAGAGGAAGTGTGTGGGCCAGGCCACGGCACATGCAGAAGAACAGGAAATGTGTGTGTGTGTGAGAGAGAGAGAAAGAGAGAGCGTTTGACCGTCTTTGATGACTCTAGCTCCGATTCTCCGGGCCTCATGCAGCTCGCATAGACTCAAGGCTTAAGCTAAAAGTTGGAGTGCACGCTCATCATGTGATGCGATTTCGAAGGGTTCCACGCGCGCCGGCACACTGCATGACATGGCTTGCGAAACTTGGCTGTTGATGGGTGGTCTCACACTCATCACACTTTCTAGCGTGCTTTCACAAATTTTGACTTCAAACGTACTCGTGACTTAGCATGTGGTAAGCTGCGTATTGCTGAGAATCCGAGTCGTGATTAACACCTTCTCTGTACAGAAGCACATCGATGCCTGCACACAGTCAGCAAGCGACGATCGCCCAGGAACTTGACGATCCAGCTGCTTGCTGCGCGCACATCGGTTTGCATCAGACCGCTGCAGGGGCGGGAAGCTCTGAAACAACAGCAAGTCCACAGCGGCTTGCTCTTACAAACACCATGATCGTCAGCTTGATGCCTACAGCCGGTTTGAAGTTACGTAGCAAGCCGATTCGGTCCAAGAACGTGAATGCTACAAATCCAAACCCAGTTGCGAGTCAGCAGTGTGGTCAAATGAACTGTGACTTCTGACAACCATGCTTCGCAAAACGTTATAGCAAGCTCGGCTGACGTCAGCCTGATGATGGGTCTGCTACTCACTTGATGAGGTACGATGGCTAATTGCGAGCATTGCCTCGGGACATCGCACTCGCATCCCCTGGCGCTGGACGTCGACCGCTGTCGCACATCGCCCGGCTCGATGTCCTGGCTAGAATTGCAGAGGAAATCCCGTGGACCCTCAAGACAAAGAAACGAAGCCTTCAGGAAGCGGGCCTTTTCACATTTGCCGAGCTACAAGACCAAGGCGACTGGTGCCGTCACGGTGTCCGACGTCTTCTGGCTCCCTCCCTTCCGGCACTGCTGCGGCTCGCAACATCGCGGTAGACATGCGTCCGTGGAGCCCGCCGAACGAAGCCTTGCTGAGGGCGAGCCAGCAGACCTGGCGATCAAACAGAGTCTCGTTGCGAATAACCGTTCGATTTAACATTCTTCGTAGAACATAGAGCCAAGATGATATGAGCACGTATATTGTGCGGAACAGTAACTGTCGACATGTCCGTCACTCGACTGGCATCATGATAGCGGACCGACCAAAGTCTGCGATGGCTACAAAAGGGGCCAAGCCGAGAGCAGGACGAGTCGCAATCGCACCTGCTCTTCCGCGCACTAGAAGTCGCGTCGAGATTGTCCCAGGATCATACTTTCCGCATTGTGTTCGATGGAGCCTTTCTGGCCTCCTTTTTGCTCTTCAATCGCCTTCCAGCTCTCCTCGTAGCCCAACGCGGCCCAGCCGTGGTGTGCGGCAAGACCCTCGACCATGGCGCGAACCTCGGATCTAGACAGCTCCTCTACGTCCTTTTTGCGCAGAGGGGCGCTACGACTGCCGCTCTCGAAATCCTTCAGCTGTGGCAGAGAGAATGCGTCTTTGATCTTCGAGTGCTTGCTCGAGCTCTCGTAGATGAGTTGAGCTGCGCTGCCTTGCGAGCGGTTTTGTGACTGGGCGTGCCAGAAAGCGGACAAGTCCACGAATTGACCAGGTGTCACGCTCTGCCCTTCCCAAAATTGAGTGTAAATGTGGGAATTTTGGAGATGAGAAAGGTCTGTGTACCAACACTGCGCGCGGATCGGCAAAGGCGTCGGCTCAACCGAGCAAACATGAATGGCCAACTGAGTTCGCATCGACGTACTTTTGCATTCCCGTAGTCGCCCTCTAGCCTGTGTAGGATGGCGTGACCCCAGTCTAGCTCTTTAGCCCCACCTTGACTCTTTCTGACCAAAAAGTGAGCAGAGTACAGGTCACCATTGGCCAAGTGCAAAGCCGCTTCCAAGGCAGGATGGCAATGCAAATCGGCAATTTTTGAAGTGAGGTGCGGACATCGTCCTTTGGAGTGCTCATGTTCGGGTAGCGGCATCGACGGTATGACGGACAACAACTCGTCGAGCCACAGCGGTGGAGCGACGAGTCCGATCCCGCACATTTTGCTGCAAGGCGGTTCACCGGATATGAAAGGAGAGCTGCGGGAGCCAGCAAAGACCAAGAGAGGTTTCCGCCGGGCTCAATCAGAGCAGCGGCAAGGCGACTTCGAGTATGAATATGAGCCCATCTGGAAGTCAATATAGCTTTACAAGTCAGTCTACGTGCACAACGATGAAGGATTGATAAACGGCAAGCTGCTCAGAATTGGACCCTGAATTGTAATGCTGCTGACTCAGACGGCGGCTTGCTTGATCGGGATCGCATGTGGTCATGAGCGCGGTCCTTCGATGACCTGAAATGGTGAGTCATTCTGCGACATGAGTCACGAGTGAGAAGCTCGTATGGGGCGAAGGATGTTGCCCCTTTGCCGACTTGATCTCAAAGGTCGAATAGCATCATCAGAAAGAGTGCATGTTGAGCGCCGCACGACGATAAAACGTGGATGAATCAAGAATCAATTGAATAGTGTGGGTGTGAGTTCGATACAGATGTCAGATAGGCTACAGCGTGCTCATGCCGAAGGTTCTAGAAGGAACTGCGTAGTAGCAGCATGCAGACACGTGCCTCGACGTGCTCATGCGGCGCTCTCATCAGCAGCCAACCGGAAGAAAGGGCTTTCAATTCAAAATTCAGTCAGCAGAGTTCGAGAGTCGAGTTTGACACGACGTGTGCAGAATGCACGTGCATGAAGATTCGTGATTCGGGGACTGCTGAGACTGTGACTCACGACTGCATCTAATCAGCGTGCGCGTAAAATCACGAGTGTGAATCAGAATGTAATGGCCGGGTGATGGGCACGCCGCGGTAGGCGAGGGCGCGGGCCTGCTGCTGCTTGGCTCGGCGTTCGAAGTTGTGGTGATTGTAGAGTGCTTCGCCGAACGTCTGGTGTCATCGAGCGAGCGAGTGACCGATAGTGAAATTACTTGCTCGCTTTGAATGCGCCAATCTCAGCAGCAACGAGTCACTCTAAGCACCCACCACTTCTACCATCACTATCCAACCATCTTCCGCAACTCTGTCACCATGGCTTTCCGCGCTTCTCTCCGTGCGTCCGCTCCTTGCTCCAAGCTGAGCTCGTCAGCATCAGCGCCTCTGCGAGTTCAGAGAGTAGCCGCACCTCGCTCTTTCGCCCTCTCTCGAACGTACGCTTCGGGTCCCACCGGTGGCGCTGTGAGTACATGATGTCTCGAGTCGCATCTACGAGGGCGCATTGTTGCTTCTCTTCTTCATCGAACCGCTTCGCTTCGAGCATGTGCTGCTCCCTGTATGGCGAGAAGCAAGAGCTGCAAACTGTGCTCGCTGGCTGAACACGGACTGCTCCGCTCTTGATTGCAGCTCGACTGACGCTGCCCTCGCTCCTCTGACCTTCCGCAGCACCCTCCTCCCGATCAAGGCGGATCACGTTCGAAGGGAACCTCTACCGCCCTTATCGCTTCGCTAGCTGTTCTAGTCACTGCGGGCGGTGCATTCGCTCTGCTGGGCGGCGATGACAAGTTTGCAGCGCTCGGCATCGGCTCCACCGGTGCAAACAAGCTGAGCGGCAGCAAGGCCAAACTTGGAAGCCCTGGTTTGGCGGCACACAAGGATGACTACCAAAAAGTCTACAATGCTATCGCTGAGAAGCTTGAACACGACCCGGAATACGATGATGGTCACTTTGGACCTGTCCTCGTTCGTCTCGCTTGGCATGCCAGCGGCACATACGACAAAAATACTGGCAACGGCGGCAGCAACGGCGCTACGATGCGTTTCGCCCCCGAGGCGGACCACGGAGCAAACGCTGGTCTGATCCACGCCCGATCCTTCTACGACTCTATCCACTCCAAATTTCCTTGGATCACCTACAGTGATCTGTGGACGCTTGGCGGTATTGTCGCAGTCCAAGAAATGGGCGGTCCCACGATTCCTTGGAGACCCGGCCGCAAGGATGGCGCTGCTGAGAACTGCACGCCTGATGGTCGTCTGCCAGACGGGGACAAGGGCTCTGACCACTTGCGCCACATCTTCTACAAGATGGGATTCAATGATCAAGAGATCGTCGCTCTTTCTGGTGCCCACGCTCTGGGAAGATGCCACAAGGACAGGTCAGGCTTTGATGGACCATGGACTTTCTCTCCCACCACTTTCAGCAACGCCTACTACCAACTGCTGTTGGATGAAAAGTGGAACTTGCGCAAGTGGGATGGTCCTATCCAATACCAAGACAAAAACACAAAGACCCTCATGATGCTCACTACCGACATGGCTCTTACCACGGACAAGTCCTTCAAACCTCACGTGCAGCGATACGCCAAGTCGGAGGAGGAATTCTTCAAGGACTTCTCAAAGGCGTACGCCAAGCTACTCGAATTGGGTGTCCCTGCCACCAGCTGGCAGTCGGGCGAGCACCTCACTGACGGCAAGCATCTGACTCTCAAGACCACTTCTGACCAAGGCCTCGACAAGTAGAAGGGACACTTATAGATGATCGACTCTCGAGCTCTTTAGACGGATATAAAATCATCGACACACAGACAACGCACGCCGGTGATCAGCACGCGATCCTATAGATTCTAGAGTAATAGAAGCAGACGCTTGGAGAGCCGACTCTGTTGACAAAGTACCTCGAGTGCGAAGCGCTTGCGTTGCGATCTTTTGCTCTGCTGCGTTTCTGAATGATCACTTGCGATAGAAGTTGCGCTGAAACGAGACTGTTTGGTGTGAGAGAGATGGCAAGTAAGCTCAAGTACTAGTCTCGATGTTGAAAGCTTATTTAGCCGCTCTGCAAAGGCACAAAACTCACAGTAGAGCTGCATGATGCCTCGATCAAAGCTAGCCCTGAACCCTCTCCGATGGGCGAGATTCCAAGGCTTGTTCACTGTGCACGCACAAAACACAATTCAGTCCCCCATCCCGGGCCATGATGGCGCGATACAAGCACTCACCAATGCGAAAGGCAATGTCCTCGTAAGGAGGACCAGCAATGAAGATGATGATGGCAGTGTCGGGATCGTTCGGATCCTTGCGTATGCGGTATGTGGGAGCTTTGCTCTTGTCGATGAGATCTGGATAGAAGATGTTGAACTGAACGGGAAGCAGGAAAAGGCACGAGCGGTAAGGGGCGGGGTCAGCAACAGGCCTCGGGGAGTGCTGATGGCATCGACATCAACAAGATCTCAGGTCAAGCGCCGATCGATGCTCACCTTGTAACCTTGCACGACTTTTGGAGGCGGATTCTCCACCGAGTCGTAATGCGTCTGGTTGTACCTGCTCCACTCGAAGCCCGTGTGCACGCGGTTGAAATACCTCGGTTTCCTGGGCCTGTACTTGTCTTCCCACTGATAAGATTTACCAACCAGCTCTTCGGCATTGTTGAACGCTTCCTCCTCCACATCCATAGGCTTGGAAGCTTCCTGCTTCCACATCGACGCATCCGCATCTTCGCCTTCTCCTCTGGCATGACGTGGACCAGAATTGCGAGGGACGAAGCGCGCACCAAGAACCTTGCGTCTTGCCTCTAGCAACTTGACGCGATCCTCATCGGGGTCGACGACTGCTACCTGCCGGTCGGCGTAGGGAAGGCTGTTTCGGTCAATGAAGCCCGGCTCCATCGTTTCGTCCCACTCGGTCTGTATACGAAGGAGCTCCGCCTCCGCAGCAGCAGCCTGTGCTTCTGCCGCTTGGTCCTCGTCAGCATCGGCCCCACTTGGCAACTGTTGCGCTTCAAATTGGCCAGTGGCATCGTCTTCTCCATCCTGCATCTGCGCCCTCAGTTCCTCTTGCATCCTCTCTGCTTCCAGCCTCTGCCTCTTTCTCAGGTAAGCAATGCGATTGGCCAAAACGTTTTCATGCTGATCTCTGAGCCTAGCCTTCGCGCGCCAGACGACAATCTGTTTGAGCAGGCCCTCCCAATACTCGACGTCGATCGACTCTCCAGACTTCAACTTTGATCGAACTTGATCCTGCAGACCGACCAGCTGCTCATGTGTCTTGTTGCCTAGCATAGTATCCATCTCTGACCTGACAGCTGGGTCCAATGATCTTTGTTGAGGGTTTGCGCCATCCTCAACCATCCGTAACTCGTCGAGCTTGTCATCACACACAATGACCATGGCCTGCCAGAGCAGGCAAAGTGCAACGGGTGCCTTCAGCTCGGTAGACGCGCACTGGAGGCACCAAAGTACCACTTACTTTCCAGAAATCGAGATGTTGCTGATTCTTCTCAAGCGTGAGGTACATTTGGATGTCCTGATGTAGCTCTTCCACCTCGTCGAGGGAAAGGTTCTGCGAGAGGAGTAGAGATGTCGGCATGGCTGCCGACATTGGCGCCAAAACCAGACCACTCACCTCAAAGATCAGGTACGGCTCCTCGAGATCAATTTCCAGACCAGCTTCGTCGTCCTCCTCATCGTCGCCCTCGTCCCTGTCTCTGGAGTCTTTATCCCGCAATACTTTTGGATCGGCCCACTTGAGATTGATAGCCAACAGATCGATAGGCTTGGCTCGACCTTCCCTGACCCGGATAGCTGCTCGTTTTCTGCTCTGTTGCAGATGGAAGTCGTCCTCCTTGGCCACCCACTCGGACATGGCGGCGCTTTCTGCTAGTCGAGCCATTCTAGCTTCCTCTTCTTCCCTTTCTTGCTGCTCCCTCTCCCTCTCTGCTCTCTTTTGATTCAGCCGCGCGATCTCTTCCTGCTCGGGGAAGGGGAGCCAACGGTATCAGCGCGAGCATACATATGATAGGACCAGTTTGGTTCTATGCGCTACTCGCCATCGCTTCTCTTCGTCTCTCTGCATCCCTCGCCTCGGCTTCAGCTCTGCTCATTCCTTGCTTCTTCTCCTTGTCCTCCTTTTTACGCCATTTGAACTTGCTGCTGAGATCTGCGTCATTAAATGGATTATCCTCTGCGCTGTACATGAGCGCCTCGGCCGCCATGGCTCTTTGCGCAGAGGCCTCGTCCTCCTCTTTGGCTGCTCGCTTGGCCGCCTTTCGTGCTGCTCTTTCCTGCTCCCTAGAGATGACGCACGCAGAGCAAATGCCTCAGTATGCGCCAAGTAGGGATGAGCAAGACTCGAGATGGCAAGGCGACTCACTTCTTCTCTCGTTTGCGCTCTCGTCGCTCCGCTTCATCTTCATCGCTGTCGTATGATCGCTTTCGCTCAGCGTGCGAAGAGCGGCCATGCTTGCTGTCGTATCTACCGCTATCCCGATCCCGATGGTCTCTACGTTTTGCATCCCGATCATCACGATCGTCATCTCGGTGCTTCCTGTCCCGATCGTCTCTATAATTGTCGCGATAGGAGCGATGATGCTGGTGGTCGCCGCGCGAGCTTTCTCCCTGAGACCTCTTGTCGTACCGACGTGGCGAGAGGCTTCTGTCGCGAGGCATGATGGACGATCTTTTGATTGGTCTCTGATGTTGCTGAGTTGGAGCCGAGCTTGTCATGAACGGGGAATGGGCAGAGCGTTGAGAGAGCGAGAGTCACGCTGCGCAAGCAGATGGAAATCATGCAAGACCCACCTGAAGTCGTGAGTTGAGTCGTGAGTTCAAGCCAAGAAAGAATCAAGAGACAAGAGTCAAAAGTCGATGAGTAAAGGGTCGAAAAGCTGGACCATGCACAGCTGATGTGGATCTCACGTGACCCAATCTACCATTCCTCATGCACGTGACTGGCGCCAAGGTTTATATATACACACCCAAATCTTGAAATCTTGAATCACGAATGTCAAAGCCGTGAGTCGTGAGTCACGAGTGTTGATCTCTTCCAACAGCTACTCGAGGCAAAAGTGAGTGACTGACTGTGCCTCGCCGCCGGAGTGTTTTGAGCTTGCGCAAGGTCACGAGCCTACCGCTCGCTCTCAAGTTCTGACGGTGTTAATGGTTACGAACGTCCATCATGCGTCGTCAGAAGACGAAATGGACTGTTCCGATCAACCCCACCCTGCATCATCTCCCCGAAAGCAGTAGTAATAACGAATGGCAACTGTGCTCGTCAGGTGGCCAACCGACTGTTGCATCTGAGTTGACAAAGCCCAGAGCACCGTTCGAGCCCAGCATCACCCAGACTGTGCTCTTCCGTAGGCATCTCAGAATTTACGAAGCGTGTCAAAGCGTATCGCCAGTCAGGAGTTGCCGAAGTCAAGTTGAGCTAGCGCACACTGTAGGGATCTCCAAAGAGCTACGGAGCCATGGTCGAATCGCCTATATATCGCCTGCACGCACTGCGCTGCGCTGCGCCGCGCAGGAAGTGAGCAGCGTGCATTCGACATGACGGAACGATACTACTCGCACTCCATTGCCAGCGATATCGAATGCAAATGTACGGTGGTAGAACCTGCAGAAGCTTACGAGCGCTACACAGTGCACTCACTCCCTTCCATGTAGATGGTCAAGTCAAAATTCCTGATTGGTAGGCCCGGGGAGAGACCGACAGGGGCCACGTCTGCCGGAGCGTCTGTCTACAGCTGCGTGCTGCACGAGTCGCTCGACTCTTTTTCGGAAAGCACACAAATCAAAAGGTTCTTCTATCTTCTCCTCGGTCACGCAATTAGAAACGCCGCCGCAAGCTCGAGACTTGTCCAAATTGGGTATTTTACAGGGCGAGTGTCTCATGGTAGATCTTCAAACTGACACCACGGGACACGTTCTGTCCGCATTCATTCACATTCGTAAAATGTGACGAACTTCACTGGGAAATTGCGCCGCACCGGTGTGCTTGCAAGCTAAGACGAAAGTATAGGGGTTGGGAGTGACAGTGACCATTCATGCAAGATCCTAAGGCACCAAACCAAGCATATGCTACGCGAGCTGCATGTCCGTCCGTGCTCAAGCGTCGACCAGCAGCAGCAGCAGCATGCAGCGAACTCGAGACTCTGACTGCAAATGCCCCCAGCAGCGGCGGTTCAGTGTGAAGTACGATCGCGAATCCGCAAGGCTGGCCGCACAGGCTATATGGTACACACGTCACGACAAGATAGCTCTTCGACGCTGGCAGCACCGATCTTATCCCTCGTCATGACTTCTTTGCCAGCAGGGCGTCAGTGCTTTTGCGGGTCGGTGCAGGTCGGACTAGCGCAAGTTCCATGTGGACCCATCTGCAGCTTTGCAGCGAGAAAAAGCGAGAAAAGCGAGAAGAGCGAGAAAAGCGAGTGAGGCTTGAGTGTCAGTCTTACAACATGCATGGTCGATGAGATGCCTGTTGATCAGACTACCCACACGCAACAGTCACAGTGGTAGCACCGTTCAATGAGGCTGCTTGATGCCCGTCGATTCACTCACAGTGAGCTGCTGCTCACTCCACATAGAAGGTACACATGCGTCGTCAAGCGGAATCGGAAGGATGAATTTTGAGTCACAATGCCCACAAGTTGAGATACGAGGATCAGACTCAAACTCATCAAAGTGCTTCTTCTGATTCAAGATTCACAAGATTGGGATATCGACTCACGAATCATCTGCGCACGACGGTCAGAGAGGTCATCCCATCCATCCCATCCATCCCATCCATCCCATCCATCCCATCCAACAGGGTCATGAGTCAAGTGACGGCCGAGGTCCCGCTGCATGCAGGCTCGTGACTTGCGCTGTGCAGTATCGTGCATTCACGGACATTCGAGTCTCCGCGCATCTCCGCATTGCATCGCATCGCATCGCATCGCATTGCATCACGCAGCGCCATGTATGTAGCACAAAGATGCACGAAGAGGAAGAGGAACAGCTCCAGACCTCGCGACTGCCTTCCCTTTTTTGCGCCTTAGCTCTGATGATCAGCCTTGCAGCTAGCCCGTCGGTTTTAGAGTTTAGGAACTGTTTTGAGATGCGGTCGCGTTCGAGTGGGGGGCACGATCGACAAGCGCTCTTCCAAGCGATGGGAGCACACGACTGCAGCGCCTCACAGCAGCCCACCCCCCCTGGCCCCTCAGCAGCAGAGCCGCTCGCGACGCAGCTGGCCAAGTACAGCTGTAATGTGAATAGCTGCAGCTACGGTAATCAATATGCTCTTCAAGATCATTCCCAAACAGCTTCCCGTGTGGCACCTCACCCCCCGCACCTCCGCACACCGGCCCCGACCGACGGCAAACGAACGCTTCACGTCGCATGCACTATACATACTGCTTGCTGGATGCGCATGCGACTCAATACTCTTGACTCAGACTGACTGCCTATGCGGCCATCATCGAGCGCAAGTCGCACTTTGTCGCAGGTCGTGTCGCACGAGCTACAGTAGATAGGCTATATAGCTACTGTAATCAAGAAGTACATACTGTATAGTGTAGTGAGTGCGCGTATTTGCAGTCATCTCGAATTCGGTATCAAGACTCAGAGCAAGGCGTGGGTGGACGCTTGATTTCTCAGTCGCATACAGTATATGGCGATGGATCGACGACCAAAAGCCACTGGACCGTCCCGCGTGCACGGTGTACTCACAGACTGACGACTCTGCACGACTGTACGTGAACTGCTGCATGCGCTCGTATGCTGCTGCTGAGCTTTGGCCCGCCCCACAGTAGGGCTGCCGTACCATCTGACTGGAATTCAAGATTTCCATTTCCATTTCCATTTCCATTTCCATTTCCATTTCCCTTCAGATTTCGTGCCAACTCACGACTCTTGACTGCTGCAGATCAACCTGCCCGCGGGGAAGCATTCCGTGTAGCCTCGAGCCAGCCAACTCCTTTAATTGATCCAACCATCCCATCCAAGCGTATACATAGTAACAATAATACCGTGCGCTGCGTGCGGACGATTCATAGCAACAGCCTCCCCTTCTCCCACGATATCGTCTCTCCTGACAACTCTTGGCAGAGTCCCAAGCATTCTTCACCTTCCAAAAATCGCCGAACTGCAATCCACTCTGGTGCGTGCGAACTTCAACGACAGCCGTTCATCCGCCGACGCGCGCCAACGTCAAACCCCTTGCATGGTCCATGCTCATCTCGTGCACCCTTCCCTGGCGGTAGGCCATTCGAGCACAAGCAAACGACCGACTGCTCTAACAAATACTGTGACTAGTACTGTAGCTCAGCACTGGGATAGCAAGGCGGAGTAAGCATCGGACGCTCGACTTGACAGCTACTACCACCTGTGCCGCACCTCGCGCGTCCGTCGATCGTGTGACGTGTCGAAATCACACTCAGCTCGCTGACCAGTCACGAGTGTTGCGACGTGTGCACGGCACCAAGGGCCACATTTTCGTGGCGCTTTCCACTTGCGAATCCAAGAATCGCCGACTGCACAGAGGGCAGCCCGACCTGAAGGAGAGGAGCATTCATCTATCTACCCTCGCTCTGATCCATCATTTCGTATCCGCTCTCCATTTCACGCACCGCTCTGTTCGCGCTTGAGTAGCGACTCCTCAAACTTCTCATCCACTCCCTAATTTCTATCCATCTGCATCGGCCCTGCTGATCCGTACCTTTGCGGTCTGCTTTGGGACCCAAGGCGCAGACCCGGCAAGTAGGCAATGGTAGAGTCTTGGCGGAGGCAAGTGCCGCTTGACCTCGGGGGACTTTGAACAGCGCGATTGCCTGTTGCAGCAGACGTGCTTTCAAGCACAATCTATATTGGTGGCAGTACGTCCTGCACCCACCCTCCAACGACGTTGTGGCCCAAAGATTCGACTTGGTACATTGTCGAGTACCCGTGCGCGCACCAGTCGGATTGGATGGGAGCGTCACAAGTCTCGACAGCTTCTGAAATTCTTACCAGTACTCGACATACTCAACGCTCGTCGCGCATCGTCTGGAACAGCACCAATCAGGTATGGCCACATCGTACTCTCAGCGCCATCAAGCACACGCAATGCCTGCCTATCAGCAAGGCTATTCCAGCTACGGCAATGGCAACGAACGCGACGGCTACGCATCAAGCGGCTCCCGTGCGCAATCCTCGTGGGACTCTCCCAAGCTGGATGCAGAGGAGCCTGCCGAGGCGAACTTTGCTGGGTTCGGCGCAAGAAAATTTGCCGAGAAGCAAAGGAGGGCCGCGCAGGCGGCTCAAAGACAAGCGGACGAAGCAGCCAGAGCTAGAGAGATTGCGGAGCAAGAAAGGTGGGAGTACGAGCGTCGACGGGCGCGGGAGGAGGAAGAGCGTCGAGCTCATGAAGAAGAAGAGCGGATGAGATGGGAAGAGCAAACGGCTTACGAGGCCGAGGAGCGCAGGAGGCAACAAGAAGAGGACGCCAGGCGCGCTTGGGAGAGGGAAGAGGCTCAGCGTCATTTAGCTCAACAACAGCGGGAAGATGAGGCCCGTAAGGCTATCGCGCAACAACGTCTGGATGCCCAGCATAGGCGGAATGAGGGTGAACGCCGCGCTGCAGTAGAGCGTGAAGAGCAGGCTCGTCTCGCTGCTGCCAGGGTGGATCGCGAGCGCGAGCGAGCCCGACAGCTAGAGGAACAAGAAGAACGAGAATACCAACGTCGGCGTCAAGAAGCTGCAGAGCGCGAAGCCGAGGCTCGGCGGCTGGCAAAGGAGCGGAGTGCGCCTGCGCGCTCAGCAACGCTGGACTCGATATCGACTGCGAGTGTCCATCTAGCCTACGACGGCAGCGATACTCTATCATCGTCCAGCAGTCTGTCTAGCCGACACGGTGGCAGAGGCGATCTGCATCCTCAGAACATACTTGCCCAGGCAAATGTACGAGAAACCATCTACGAAGACGACTACGAGGAGGATGAGGAGGAGCTAGACGACGAGCGGAGAAGGGCTAGGTACACTGCATATGCTGGATCGCACGACGATGACACAACGATCGATGCATTGCGCAGCGCAGCAGCAGCTCGAAAGACGATGGCGCGTGCCACGACCTATGAACCTCTGCCCAAAGCCAAGTGCGCCGACTGTGGCACCCTACTGTCTTTCGACGAGCTTGTGGAGCACACGTGTGCAAGGGCGGGAAGCACCTCTCCGCTTTCTCCGCTCACCATTGCCGTGGAACATGCTCCTGCTGCGAGCATTGTCATCAATGGTGGCTTTCCATTGGTAGAGTCTCCAATCGAAGGTCGCCTCTCTCCTGCAAAAACTGGTACACGGTCGCCTTTCTTCGACCGATATGCCAGGCTCGAGAATAAATCAGGCCGGAGCAGCCCGGCTTTCAATGGTGCGAGCGGCGAATTCGATGCGGTGACACCGCGCGCCTCCTCCTTCGACGTCCCGCGGTCCGGTACGACGAGCGCAGAGCCTCGTAGGACGGCGAGATTTTCGCCTCCCACAACCTCTTCACCTCTGCTAGCTGCAACCGACGAGAACGCATCTGATGCGCGGATCCGCATGGTTGCAGAACGCAAGAAGCAGATTGAAGCACAGCGCGCTGCCGCCCGAAGCCGCAATGCGACCCTCAACGGTGCTTCGACAGAAGGCTCAGCAAGCCCAATCCCAGAAATCGCTGGTGCAAAGCCTCCTGGTTCCCTTTCCCACGCCAAGGCACCCAGCACTTCGTCTTCCACCTCTTCTAGCCACAGCTCATTGTTGGGCCGAGGCAGAGATGGCAGCTCTGCCTCTGTCAGCGCTGCGATCACACCAAGCTCGAGCTTCGATCACACGAGCGGCATGCCCAGTCCCCGCGAGGTTGTCCTCGTCGCCTCTGTCGACTCTGCAGGGGCCAGAAGCAGCAATGCGACCGCCAGGCCAAGCTCCAAGTCGCGCGGCGTAGACCTTGACAAGATCGAGGCCATGCTTCATGACTTGGATATGAGCACGTCACACAAGGAGCCTACGAAGCCGAGCTCGGAAAAAGTCGCACGAAAGGAAGAGGTGGCATCTAGAGGCAAAACACGTCCTAAAGATATCAACCCAGCAAAGTCTTGCGAGACGCGATCGCGGAACCGGTCGGAGGAGGGTGGCAAGAAGCTGAAGCACGATCTGCGGACCGCGAAACGCCAGACCAAGCTTTGCAGCGTCTGCCTGTGCCCACTTGGCTCCAGCAAAACGCCCTTCGTCGAGCGCGATGGCAAGTTGCTCTGCGCTGCAGACTATGCAGACCTTTACTTGCCGAAGTGCCGCAAGTGCACCAAGCCTGTGGAGAAGGATGCCGTGAAATCGTCCGATGGTGCTCTCAAGGGCATCTTCCACCGAGGTGAGCATTCATCCGAGTCTCTGACGTACGTGCTCGCAATTCATACCACATGCCACTTTCATCACAGGCTGCTTCTGTTGCTTCCAGTGCGATGCGTCTTTCGAGGACGGCACGTTTTACGGTGAGCACCATCGGTCTGCGCCTGCATAAGACCGTTCAGGCTGACTTCTTGTGCCTTGACTCTCTCGTCGACACCTCGTCAGTCTGGCAAAATGTGCCCTACTGTAGCAAGCACTATCATGCCTTGGCAGGAACTCTTTGCGCCGGATGCAACGAGGGCATCGAGGGCCAGTGCCGTCAGACAGAATCCGGCGAGAAGTATCACCCTCAGTGCCTGACTTGCCAGTACGAAGGTCACGACAGCAAAGAGTTTTGTCGCGAGCTCTTGGACGATTACTATTTGCTCAACGGTCAGAGGCTTTGCGAATGGCACGCCCGCAAAGCTCAAAAGGAGCTGGAAAAGCGTGGGGGTGGCCAAAAACAAATTCGAGCACAGCGCCGCCAGACATTCCTTCAGACTCTCCAGTAGATCGATACATTGGGTGCTCCCAACGAGTGCCGCACTTTTTATACCTTTACACATTATCGTTGCACATCTTACATGATTATTCAAGATACCACTGCCCTCGTTCACTTTTCGCATTGCCACCATTGCTCCTCGTTTCTCATCCGTCGCTTTCACTACATCCATGACGTTTGCCACACCTCGAGGGGCCTTTGCACATACCGATGAGATTTTCCCGCATGCGTGCCTGATCGGCAATGATTGACTGGTGAGATACTGAGGCGAAGCAATGGAACGAGGAGCAGTCTACAGGGCTCCAAATGCACAAATGGCGCAGCAAATTCTGGCACACGTGAGGTACGCCGGGCACGCCTTACCAACTTGAAACCTCCGCCATCAAACGCAAAGCAGTCGGATTCACGAGACAAGCAGCACCCGGAAAAGATCGAGGTTTGGAAAGTGCTCAAGCCTTGCTCAAGAAGCACACTCTGAATTGAGAAAGACTATTGGATTGCTCGTAGCCAAGTAAGATAAATGGATGCATTGTCAGAAAGCCTCAAGTCGTGAAAATTGGAGCGAATGAAAGGATGAAACGAGGCGGGAGAACATTGAAAAGGTGCACACAGACAATGAGCAGTCGAAATGGAGCAGGGAGCATGGGAACGTAGAAAAGGATTCCAATGATCGAGGGTACGTAGGCCTGGTCGCCAAGCTACGCAAGCTGATCACTGTGTGCCGGCTGCTTGAGCCGCGAAACGCTCGTAGAACGGTCGCATGACTCGCAGGTGAAAGACAGCAACCTTGGTGATGCGGTCGCCAAGCAGCTTGACCTCGGCACTGAGCGTCTCAAGCCCAGCTTTGACGAGCACGGACTCCCAGTCGCGTTCAGAGACGCGTGCCGTCGTGTTCGAGGCTAGTGTGCCCATGCTGAGCTCAGCTTCACACGGCTGGTCTGTGGCACCGCTAGTGGAGCTCATGGCGGCCAACGACTCTGGGATACTGGCTCTAGTTCCGTCCTCCAGGCGGGCCTTCTTGCTAGAAGGGGCCCCTGACATCTCCCCAGGAAGGGCAGCCTCACAGACAGCGTCGTCCCCTGAGTGCTTGCGCCTCACACCAGCCACTGCTTGGACGGGGGACATCAATGGCTGACGGCGAGCCCTTGGTGCTCCAAGGCGGTCCGCGAGCATCGCAGCTATGACATCGCGGAGCCGGCTTTGACAGAGCTTGTGCAAAGAGCTGCCCACGCGAAGGTTCGTTTCCAGCCAAGCACGAAGCATGGCCAGAACACGCTCGGGCGGTGCAGAAAGAGAGACGCGGGGTAACGGGTCGGCAGTAGTCGTCTCTCCTCCTGCGCTGGCAGCGGACGCTAACGCGAGACATTGGGGATCACGCGCGGCGATTTGAACCGCACTAGCACGAGCCGCAACTTGCAGCAATACGTCCCCCATAGCTGCCCGCCACTTGACATCTTCCAGCTTTGCGCTGCCCGTCGCGCCTCCGAGCATCATCGCAGCAGTCCGCGCAGAAGGTGTAGCGGGAGTTCGTGGCGCAGAAGTTTCTCGAGCAGAGATGCTAGTGTTAGCTTCGCACAACAAGCACCAGATTTCCTCCTTGACTGACGCGATCTGACGCGCAGCTAGATTCGCGGCGTTGGATGCGATTTGACCTGCGGTCAACTTTGTCGATGGAGGTGAAGCGCCAGCCAGAAGCGGCGAGCATGCGAGTTGCCTGAAGAGCAGCAATAGCATGTACATAATGGTGATGTCGGTCGCATCGGCGTGAAAAGTGATCAAGCGGTACGCGTCGAACTGGAACATTTCCGGGAAGTAGGAAACGTATGCGTGGTTGAGGCTGCTGCTTGACAGCGCCACACCTGTGCCTTGCTGTTGAGACGCTGAGGGAGGAACGGCGGACGCGCTAGTGACCGACGAAGTGGGTCGGACCAGGGGAGCTTCAAAGATGAGGTTCAAGAAGCCATCGTCGAAAGCTTTGGAGATGGCCTCCGTGCGCGTGAGAGCTTGTGAGAAAGTTTGACTCTCAGCACGCTGCAGGGCTGTGGTGAACCAGGAGAATGATCGGTCCAGACTCAGCTTGCCCAATTCGAGTTGCTCGCGGAACCAACGACTTTCGAATTCGACGGCGGTGTCCACGAGATATGGTCTTGCAGTGCGCAGCTGGTGGTTCGCAATGTCCAGCTTCATGAGCTCCAAAATCTCAAAACAAGAACGAAGGCCTTTGCCAACATCGCTTCTGTGTACGACGGTAGCGACCATCCTCTCGACCGCCTCGTCGCGCATCGGAGCGCAGTGCAACTTGAGCACTGAGCCGAGCATCGTGATCAATGCACTCACGTCCAGCACACCGTGTGCCAGCTCTTGGGTGATCAGCTGTGGGTCGAGCATCTGAAGTATCAAAGTATGCTGGCTCGAGATGTAGGTGTTGCTGCTTCCCTGCAGATTTGCGCCAGGTAGCGCAAGCGTTGTTGACGAGCGACTTTGAGCGTTTGTAGCATTGCGTTTTTGCGCGCTCGATGGTTCCGAAACATCTGGAGCATTTCGTCCCTTTTGCTTAGCGGCTGGCAATTCGCAAGTCTTCTGCGCTGCGGGCGCGTAACCTTGAGCCGTAGGCTCTTGGGACGCTCGCTGCTGCGAGGCCTCCCGCGACGGGCCCGCCTGTGGGCGAGAGCTCAAGCTCGCTGAAAGTGGGTGCGCTGGTGTGAGAGGTGTAGTTGGGATCTCGCCTGCACCGCCAAGCGGCAAGATTGAGAGACAAATAGCACGCAGCTCTTGAATCAACGACGGTATGCGTGACGGGACTCTGATCGAGCCACCTGCGGTTCTGACAGGGACGGGTGGCAGCGCCGCCTTGCGGTTGTCCGCTTTGCCACTTGGGGGACACGAGCAAGGTAGCATGGTCCGTCCCTCGAAGGCGGTACAGGTGCAATTGAACTCGATCTCGCGTGAAATGGCGGCCCAGTACTTGTCACCAGCCTCGCGTTTGCGCCGACCGCGTTCACCGTCGAAGTTAGGTCGGAACTGGACGTTCGGGTCGAAGACTACGTCGTGTCGCAGCTGGGGGTTCTTCAAAATCTCGCACAGGTCCAGCTCTCGCAGAGTGTGACGCGTGATGGGTGGATTCAGGGATGGAGTGTAAAGCTGGCGACAGTGTGTAGCCCCTGTGCCGGGCGTCACCTTAGAGGTGACATCGTTGGTTCCGCTCTTCTCATGGGCACGAGACAGACTTGCGATGTACTGTATCAGGTGAAGAGGGAGGGCCAGCCGATGCGAGACAGGAGCGCCAAAGTCCACGACGGGTCTTGCCTTTAGGTTTGGCAAGCTGTGAGTGCGCCGTAGACGGGGTCGACGCCGTGTCGCAACATGATGAGCAGGGGGCGGGGCGTCGCCCTTGGCCGGCGGTGCAGCACGCGAGCTGGGGCGCTGAAAGCTCTGCGCGGAACTTTGGCAAGCGCTCGATCGGGCAGCATTTTGAGGGACGGCACCTTTGTTCTCTTCCGAGCACGCTGGTGTCAGAGTGGCGCCGTAGGCAGGGTGTGTGGCCTTAGAGACACTAGGGACGGCAGGGAAACTTCCAGCCAAGGACTCAGCAGCGGAGAGGCCATGACCCTGAGAAGCGGTCCCAGTCGCTGCTTGCTTCATTGGTTGCTTCATTGGTTGCAAATCGGCTTCAAAGGTTGCAGCATGCGCATCGCTGTGCGTTGATTGAAGCCGTCTAGATTTGCGGTACTTTTCTGGGACCACGGGAACGGGCGGCACACCAAGATCGCGAAGGGTGTGGGCAGCTTGACCTAGTGGATGCGAGGCACCAGGCTGAACCAAGGGCGGCGGCGATTGGACACGACCGTCAAGTCCACTCGCATTAGCAAATTTCCTTCGCTTTGAGGGCGGTACCGGTTGAAGGCAGAACGCGTGCTCTGCTGCACGATGTAACGGCGGGACATCTGCCGATGGGCGCGTCGCACTTGCAGGCGACCTGTCCACTTCGTCGCCCATGCTCGAGCGACGCAAGGCTGCTACTTCGGCCCTTCCGATTGCAGAAAGACGATGCTGCACCAGCCCGCTAAAAGTGGGATGCGGCAAGCCAGATTCGCTCGGGCGCAGATGTCTGGCTTGGACCATGGGCTTGCGTCGTTGTCTCACGGAAGGCCGAGATCCGGACGCCTCGGAGCTCTGATTCGGAGACCATTTTGATTGGTCAGAGTCGTGACGGATGGATCGACGAGCTAACATGCGTTGCTCGTCACCGTCGCGGTCCAGCTCGAAGGCGTCGCCTGATTGTGCTCTTGTGAGCGCAAGCGGCTGCGAGGCTGAATGTGCTATAGAGCCCACTGGACTCGAAGAAGCGGTCGGGCTTGTCACCATGGTTGTGAAGGGCACTGAGCCAGAAAAGGAGGGCGAACCAGAATGGAACGGCGCAGCAGCGGAGTGTGGGCTTTGGCGAAAGTATTGGGCGAAGTCAGGAGTGCCGAGGCTGGAGCTGACGGCGGCATGACCCTCGTGGTCTGCCTTCTCCTGAGGTGTGGTCGGTGTCTCGAGCCTCACTGAAGGCGATGAGGCTCTCTCGGCGCCGCCATGTGATGTATTGAGATCAGCTGGCTCGACTTGAGTGCGATGCCCAGTGAAGTTGTCAGATTAGCCAAATCGGGCGTTGAGCTGCGCTCAGGACACAGAAACTTACCGTGGGGGGGGATGAGATGCCGAACACTTTGAGCATCTCTTGATGCATCATTTCGAGATGCGACAGCTCCCTCGCATCCCTGCAAACGGTGCAGACACACTTCTTCTGAGGAGCGAGGTTCTCGATAGTTGCTTCCATCCAATGGCTCTATGCAGCAAATACTTTCTGCTCGACCAATGCACCGTCCGAGGTGTGGAGCAGGTGCTTGTTGCTCCGATGTTGAAGGCGCTGCGCCGGGGCTCGTGCTCCTCTTGTCATGCACTGGTGCAAGTCCATAAGAGGCAGACTCAGCGCCAGTGCCTGCCAGTACTGCTTCATCATCGCGCGGTCCCATGCCGGGTCGCCGGGGCAAGTTCTCGGACATATCCGCGTGAGCGAGTTCGCGAGATGATTGACAGTATGAGAGACGTCCTTCGGATAGATCTGATCCTGGTATATGATCTTCAATGGGTGGACATGCACTTGAAGAGGCATGGATGCGACCCGAGGGACCGGCAGCATTCGATGGACATGTCAATGAGTGAGACAATTTCCGCTTGCCGGGCCTCGTGGTGGTTGAGTTGCCTTCTAAGGCTGATGCGGATGTTGATGGCTGAGGGGACGCGGAGGATCCGCTGCCCATTGCAGATCCTGAGCCAGCCGCATTCGCGTTGCTAGATGCGACAGAGACGCCACTGGGGGCCATGCGAGGTGAAGACCTCTGGTGCAGGTGAGGCCCATCGTCGGCTGTCTCCATCGCAACGATGGACGATTCAAGGGCAATGGTCTTTCGAGCCTCAGCTAATGTCGATAAGTATGGACGGCGATTGTCGAAGGGATTGGACCGAGACACTGAAACCGATGGGGCTTGTAAGATGTGCCAGCTTGAGGTGTGTGTACAGAAGCGACACTAAGACTTCCAGTGCCAGACCCAATCTCTCGGTAGTCTACCAGTGGTTTCGTATGGTAGAGCAGAAGTAGAGCCCAGGGGTCAAACGAGTGTGGAAGGTGACTAACGAATCAAGATGAGGCGACGAGCGTTTGACACAGGGCCAGTCGGGCTAGAAGATGCTGATGGGGTAGAGGGAGTGGTGATAGCAGGTCAAGGCTAGTGAGCGATGTATAGCAGGCTAGCAGGGTCAGCCGAGGATCGGTGAAGCAGGAATGTGAGGTGGGTGTTGAGTGCCGTTCTGGGCGTGGAGATACTGGGACGCAATGGAGAGCGTCGAGCAGCAGAGTGAGTGACAGCACCAGGTTTCCCTCTGTCAGAGAGAGGAACTTACGCCGAATGCCATATGCTGATGCAGCCAAGTGAGGCAAGCCAAGCCCTGAGCCAAGGAGCCACACAGCATGCGCCCGTGAGGAGCAGCAGCATCAGCAGCAGCTGCTCAATTGGGCGACAAGAGGAGCGCGGTGAC